CAAGTGGTATGAGAATGACAGAGAAATTACAGTTCTTCCAGCCTGCCTGTGGCACTGATTGGGAAACATGGCCACTGCCCTTCATACACTTCGATGGCAGAGCCGTCTGCTTAGGGAGAAAATAGCTGCCTGCATTATCACAGGTGTAAACCTAGCATAGGGCTGCACCCTGGTGCCCTGTTGATCTCTGGTTTATGAATGCTGACCAAAAAGTCACATCTATGGTACACAGCTAACTCTATCCTGTTATGCTTCCCTAGGACAACTGGGTGCTCCATGAAGTAGGTTCCACATCTGGTTTTGCTGGCAAATGTGTCCTCAAGAACTCTATAAAGTTTGGGATAAATATTTGGATGGTGGTCACCAGACACAACCTAGCTGTTAAACTGTTGAAGAAATCCAGGTTCCCAGCATTTACCTGGTTGGTCCCTGGTGTGCACACTTGCTTTCCACTAGAAAATGATGGATCAGTTTCTCACTGAAGGTTACCAGTTGTGGGACCAGGGAGATGGCTCAGTCAGGAAACTGTTTGTTTTGCAAGTATGAGGACCTAGGATTAATCCCCCAAATGCCCGTGTCTTAGATTCATTTCTGTGGCTGTGGTGAAATACCTTGGCAGAAAGCAACTTAAAGGAGAGCGGGGTTGATTTTAGCTTGCAATTCCAGGCTACAGTTCATCATTGTAGGGAAATCAAGGCAAGAACTTCAAATAGCGAGTCACATCATAGTGACATCCATAGTCAAGAGCAGAGAGAAACAAACACATGTACATTCACTGCTTGTAATCTCACACAGTTCAGGACTTCCTGCCTAAGGAAGGGTTACACCCATGGTGAGATGGGTCTTCTCACATCAATTAACTGAAGACAATCGCTCATAGACCAACCCAAGGCAGGCAGCCCCTCATTGAGACTCTCTTCCCAGGTGTCAAGTTGACAATTAAAGCTGATAATCACACCAAATTGAAAACTAAAACTAAAACTGGGTTTGGTGGTGTGCACTTGTAATCCCAGCACTGAGTGGTTGGAGAGACTCTCTGAGACGTATGTGCATGCGTACTCATCTGTGCGCGCGTGCACGTGCGTGCACACAGAAAGAGTTAACAGTACCATTTTTATTTTTCCTTCTTTGTCTTTTCACAGCTGTGCAGTCACTGCACACCCTAAATGACCAGATTTCCCACTTCATTGTCACCAAGTCGAAGGCACTGGAGGAAGACGATGACCCCTTTCTACCCACGGAGAAAGAGACACTGAAGAACTCTATGATATTGATGAGACACCTCTTAATGGATGCCCAGGTACAAAGATCAGTGATGGGTGGTACAGGGTTGTCCAGGATTGTGTTATTATGACACGAGAGTGTCATTTAAAAAGTTCACACTCAAGAATTGCACAGCTTAATTACCAAAAACAACAATGAAAAATATTACAAAAATTCTTACCATGTTTTATGCAAGCTTAGGATTTTATGTTGGGTCTCATTCATTGCTATTGTTGGCCACAGGTTGGACAATGCCTTTAATGGATTTGGGGATTATCTTTGGAATTTCTTTAAATGTTTTATTTGGGGGATAAGATATCCAAGGATGTTCAACTACCAAACCAACCACCAGTCACTTTTACCATAAACAACCCTAAGAGGCACTCTCATACAGTGAGGACTGGGCTTTTCAGTGGATTTTTACTATGTTTTTAAGTCAGAGTAATGGAGCTTAAAGATAATGTATGTGTTGCTTTTGAGAATGGAGTGTATCTCCTCTCAGTCTTGGGAAAGAGAAAGAATGCATTTACATACAAACTTGGCAGGCATTGAAACTGGCAAGGGTGTCAGCATGGAGCAAGACTTGATCCAAAACTGTATCTCTGAGTAGCTGATAAATATTTAGGGGTGTCCAATGTGTTCCCTAGTAAATGAATCAGCATTTGAAGAGACTAGCAGTGAATATGCTGCAGGGGAACTGCCCATTTCACACTATTGTTGGGATGTTGTTTCTCAAGGTTCCTTCTCATATGCTGTTTTATTGAAATATTTAAAAGTAATCTTTCTCCTCCTTCTGTCTTTGTTAGTGGGTTTCTCCAGATATGTTGATGGGCAAACACCAGGTGTTTTAAGAGCCGGATGGTATTTTTCTTTGGTTAAAGCAAACTGCTCTAGAATTTATTGTCATTTCTGCCTCTTGGGGATCTGGAAGTATTTTTAGGAAATCATCTTTGGTTTGGGGGGTGGGGTTCTTGTGTGATGTCTCCAAAGCTTTCTTCTGAAGCTTGCTTTCCATTGAACAAGTGAGGTCAATATGGCTGTTCCCTGCCTTCTGCTCTGAGTGGCAGAGTTTTGAACCATGGTCTCTCCACTTTTGTTCCTATCAGAATGATGCTTTGTGTTTTATTTTCTATGATCAATCTGGAAATCTGGGTTTCATCTCACCAAGACTGTAGCTGATGGGACCTGTCTACATGCCTCACCTGTCAGTGTTTGAAGCTGCCCCATGGGATCCGAGCCCCTCTGTCAAGGTGCCCCAAATTATGCAAAGCCTTTCATTTACATTCTTATTCTTCCAGTCCCTCTTTTCAGTAAGCAGCCATTCAGCCTCCCCTTCCTTCCCAAGCCTGTCTGGGGGAGAAAAGAAGGCTTCTAAAGCCGCAAGAGCCAATTTTAAGGCTTGGAAAAAAGGGGAAATTTAGAGCAATTTACTGAATAAAGAAAGCAAATTGTTCCTGAAAGCGTAGCTTTGCTCAATGCCTGGACCCAATCCGATAGCTGACATTGCAGCCCAGGGAACTGTGTAAATGAATCCCTAAGGAGAGTGTGTATGTTCTAGTTTGCAAAATCCCAGAGAATAAAAGCCTCTTCATTTCTTTTTCTCATTTGAATTTGCTAATGCAGAGTGCTGAACTTTTCAAAACCTTTAACAGCAGAGGGAAAACAGGCCCCATATTTGAGGGGCATGGAGAAGTGAGTCCACAGCCCAGTCGGGTAAATAGAGTTCATAACAACTTAGTACATTTATTATTATTATTTTGGTGTTTTGAGGAAGGATTTCACTAGGTAGCCCAGGCTGGCCCCGAACTCACAGCAGTCCTCCTAGGGTTCCAGGCATACAGCACCACACCTGGTGAATTCATTACCAGTTTTATTAAGAACTGGAAGAGAGAAGATTGAAATGCCCCAGCACAATGACGTGCTGAAGAAGCTGGGAATACTATTTACCCCAGTTTGGGCCATACACATTGTATCCTTATGAATTACCACCCTGTACCCCAGAAATATGTACCTTTACTATATGTCAATCCAAAACATCTTACATGGCTTAAGATTATTTCTCATCAAATGTTAAACTGGCATCTTGAATCCTCCTTGGCATTGGTAACCTCCCTCCCTCCCTCCCTCCCTCCCTCTTTCCCTTTCCCTCTTTTTTCCTCTCTTCCTTCCTTCCTTCCTTCCTTCCTTCCTTCCTTCCTTCCTTCCTTCCTTCCTTCCTTCCTTTCTTTCTTTCTTTCTTTCTTTCTTTCTTTCTTTC